GTGGAAGAGGAAAAGGAGGAGGAGGAGGAGGAGGAGGAGGAGGAGGAGGAGGAGGAAGAGTCCGCGCGCGGCAATAAGTTCGGTGAGAAATAGGAATTGAGAACCTGCGCGCGGAGCACGGAAAGCGTTGGAGAGGATCCGGGAGTTGGACACGGCACGCGACCGCGATATTAGAACGCGTGTAGCGTGGTGGGGACCTCTTTCGTGCTCCGGGGAACGGAATTACGGAACGCTGGTGGCAAAGTTTACCGAGTTTGCTCGATTGTTCCGTCGGCCGCCTCGCGACAACGATCCTTTGTGTAAGCGAGCTAGTCGAGTAGTTGCCTCGGGTGCATACGAATTATCGAATGATCGTTATATTATGAGGATGAGGATGACGAGTCCCGTTGCCATTAACGCGTATCCTCCCTATGTCTCCACGCTTTCGCCTCGCTCTTGCCTTATTTCTTTTAAATAAGGACCTTCTGCCTCTCGCCTCGGCCATCCTCGCTAGCCAACGAATCATTAATGGAGCGACTGATTGGCCGGTCGCTGCTTACGGCGCACATCTACGAGACGCATCTCGAGATCTATTTGCCGAATAGGGGATAAATTAATATTTGCGACCGTTCGCATGGATTTCGCAGCTTCATTATCCCGTGACAGACTTTACACGGTGGCGCGCATCAGCTATCGAGAGCGAGACTTTCTTCGCTCGTTAGCAGCGGCTATTATTCCGCCCAGCCGATCTCGTTGCTTAGCACGAGCTGCCGACGAATGCGACGAAATTCCCTGTTGAAGATGCTGTAGGTAATTGCACGTTGCTTGCTCGTTTGAAACGTACGATTCTACGCGCGTTGAGTCGTCCCTTCCACCCACCCCGACCCCCACCGCGCCATGACGTAACGTCGAGGAAAAAGAAGAGGGAATAGAGAAAAGGGCGGCTGAGTGAGCTAATGTACCGTTACGATGATAAAATCTCGTTGGAGCATATACGTAATAATAAAGATGCTTATCCTTTGACGACACAATACTCGATTCGAGTGTCATCTCGCGGTTTATAAACTCTTGGATCTTCGATGAATTCTTAGGCGCTTGTGACTTAGGCAAATCACGTATTATAGTTTTATTCGAATGGGTAAAGTGATGCTCAACCCAGGCCTTTTTGCCCATAAAACGCGTTTACGCAGAGTGCGTAAAGCGTTGAACGTTGAGAAATTTAAAAAATTTGAAAATACTAGCGGTAAGCGTATGAAAGGGTGAATTTCCCAACGAAACAATTAAGATGAGAAAAGCCAGTAGGCGCTCGATGTTAAGCATTATTAAATCGTTGGCAATCTCTCTTACTTGGATGCCTCGTCCAAGTTGAGAGTCGCGCGCGCGCAGCTGGCATTACCCAAGTGCATAGGCAGGCAGGCAGGCAGGCGCTCGCGGGCACGAGGACGAAGACGACGACGCGAGAATCGGGATGCGACATGCGACATGCAGCAGTTCTTTCACACGATGTACATCGATACAAAAAGGCGCTCTCTCCCTTCCTCCTCCCCACCCCGCCGCCCCTTCCGTTACCCCGCCCCTTGTTTACCACCCCGAACCAGCGACCATCCGCTCAGCGCTCGTACACGTTTCTTTCGCACTCTCTCTCTCTCTCTCTCTCTCTCTCTCTCTCTCTCTATATATATATATATATATATATATATATATATATATATATATATATCCCTCTTCCGTTTTCGTTCCTTCTCACTCGAGGCTCGCTCTCGCTCTCGCTCATTTACGCATATGAGGCTAAACGAGAAACATCTGCGATCGATAAAAGCCTCGCTATCGTGGTTGGAAAAAGACAGAGAGAGAGTGTATAACTGCTAGGACAGTGGTACTTTTGCGACGTTGCGTGCGCGCGCTGCTACCGCAAGCACGAGGTTACATTGCCATGTGACTACAGCTGATTTCGAATTTTTCACGAAAGACTTTGTTTGATGAAATAGTACATTGGGGGGTAACCTTTTACTTGTTGCTTTGGCTTCAAATTTTAACAAATGCTGGCCTTCTCCTCTTTTGTTTCTCCATTTTTATCTCTCTTTCTATTATTTTCCCCTTGAAATTCTTATACATCATAAAAGTAATTGATAAAGATTTTCATCTAAAATAATGAATGCAGCATTGCGAGCAACGTTTGAACGGCCGAAAGAGTAAATGAAATATTTTCATCGTCGACGTAGACTCATCGGCTTTGCGTCTGCCAAAAATTAGCAACACGCTGGTTTTACATTATGAGTACGATGAATTTGTTGAAGAACGGTCGAATAACTTTCGTCAAATTAGCAACGCGTTTATTCAAATTGACAATATTGTCAAAGTCGGCGGTTATAAGAAATAAAATAAGATATTTTTTTTTGTTGCAATTTTGAAGGAACGAATGTCAAGCGTAAAACATATTTATATATCTCTATCAATCATACATGAATTTATTCGAAAGAGAATTAAAATAGTTTTTCAATGCTTTTGTTACAGATTGCTGTATAAAGTCGATACAAACATTTAAATTTTATAATGCAATTTCGCACGATGAAAATTTTATAAATAATAAATAGCAATTTCGTATTAGCCATAACATAACCGAAGACAAAATTTTTCAACCACAAAGTAATAACAATTTTTAATAATCGAGAAATTGTTCATTAAAATAATAAAAATATGATTTATTGGTAAAATTGCATTTTTAATAAATCGTATTTATTAAAAAGTATTTAAATATTTAAAGACTTAGAAGATTTTACTTGTATAAATGATTATTTGAAAGAAAAATCTCAATCGAGCGAATAAAGAAAGAATAAGTATTAAATGGTAAAGGCTTTGCTAAAGAATATAAAATTTAATCCGATGGATTATAAGAACATTCAACATTCTCTAAAGTTTATAATAATATAGTAATATTTCTGGGTAATTGCGCATACGTAAATAAGAGAAAGTAGTTCGTTATGTGGCAAACAATCTTTAAGTTTAACTCTACTGAGTATTCAAAAAAGCAATTTCGATCTTCAAAATTAATCGTGAATTATTCAATAATTTAATAATAACAAGACAAATTTCATTTGAAAATATCAAGTGCATTAGTAATTTAACATTTTATATTTTAATTGTATGATGTAATAAATCATCGATTACTCCCGATTAAATTATCCCTTCTTCTCTTAAAATATGTCCTAAATTCTTAAGTACTACAACTTCCTTGTTGAACTAATGTCTTTATCGTAAATTTACATTTTTTTTTTTTTTTTTTTTTTTTTTTTTTTTTTTTTGACAATTTAATCGTTAAATTAAACGGAAATATTTGCTCAAAATAGTCAAAATTTAATTATTAATTCCATCCACTGAACCATTAATTTTATTAATCCCATACTCCATTAATATATAAATTGACCAAGTTTCCAAGGCTTCCAATTGTTAGACATTTGTATAACTTTGGCAAACGTCTATTACGTTGTCTCGACATAATGTAATTCTAATTAAAATCGTCTAATTATATTCCCATATTATTAAGAATATTAACGGAATTAAATTTGGTATTGACTTTACATAAAAATTGCGTAAGATAATTCGAATAAATTATTTTTTTCTACAGATTTTTACTCACAAAAAGCATTTAAACAAGAACAAAACACTAAATGTGGATAACTGGAAATTACTATTTCATCTTAACTACAAAGACCTTCGACTTTTCCTACTTACTAGTCTAAACCTGAAATGAAAATTGAGCAGCCAATGAATTCATTAGGCATTTTATTTATTTTCAATTCTTAAAATAGATTCGTTTTTGTTTCCTAGGTTCGATTTACCATCTGTACTTTTTTTTTTTTTTTTGTTACATAGAAAATTGAAGACTTTAAGTAGTCATAAATTTTGATATGTTGTGTTTTTGGTATATCTCTGAACAACTTATTATACATTTTTTATCGAATATTTATAAAACTTTGTGCTCAATTTCTTAGGCCTCTTTATCATATTTGAGATGTGTAATAAGAATGAATACACACACACACACACACACACACACATGAAATGTAATAAGCATTTTGACGTGATTTGGTAATTGTTTAATAGATATATTTTTCTGTCATATACACTTAAACATAGTATTTTTTCATTCGACGCACCTTTTATTATTTTAAATATTTTTCAAATGTGTTTTTACAATGATTTAATATTACGAATTTAATATTTATTATTACAATAATGGGTATAAACATAATTGTAGGAACGGTTACTCGTGGATGGAGCTGAATTTGAAAGAGAAAAATAAGAAGGATTAGTTCTCCTTGGGTAAATTGGAAGGATAAAGGTAATTTCTTAGAAACCGAAGGAAATACAAGATAACGGATAGAGATGTGAGACATAATGACTTCGTCCGAGGGTAAGAAAAGGTTTTCGCATATTAACGTTGCGTAAGTATACGGAAAACGCTTTCTAATAGTAACTAAGGTAGTTTATTGTTTTCAGATACTATTTAAATAATGTATTGCTTTAAATTGATTTTATCTACATTTAAAATCTTTCTAAAAACAATTTCATTAAATCTAAATATATATTAAAGCCGTATTTATAATCAATACAAAAACAAAATTTACTTTCTGCAAATTTAAATGTATTGTCAACGGTTAAATTATTTATTAATTTTTAAATCAACTAAAATTAAGTTAGTTTATTAGAAATTAAAACATTTTATATGCCAATTTATTTTTTAATGTATTTCCCCGCCACTTAAATGTAATAAGTGTCTGTTCATGACATTTAATAACCTTTCTTTGCAACAATGACGTGCACATTCGAGCTTCTTTTTTTTTTTTTAAACCATTTATACCATGCCTAGTTTTATTAATTATATTAATCTTTGTATAAATGATTAAACTTTAAATCCCATGTATATAATTGAGGCGAAAGTATAAAATACATGTATTTAAAAAATTTCAACGTATTGATAAACGATATTGATACTAATCACTACTGATTAAGAAATATTATGATTTTTAAATAATGTACCAATGCATGAACACGTTTAGTATTTCATAGTGAGGTCTCGCTGACTAAATGGCGCACTTCATTTGAAAGAGAATGAATGACATGGGTTTTCGTATTTTTGTCGAGCATTTTAATAGATTTCTTTTCTTGCAGAATTCATTAAAATAACACATAGCATGTCTTATGTTAAGTACGTGATTTTTGTTGTTACATCATTTCATAATGAATCACAACATTCGAGCATTAATACAAGGTCAATATATAGCACTATACAGCGTAGAGGAATTTTTTCAATATTAAATTCATGTATAAATGCGTCGTCACGTAATTTTTGGTAACGTACGTACACATCGTAAATGTAAATTAAGTTAATACATATTTTATATAACATTTTTCTATCACAAACGCCGACAAAAATAGAGATATCTTTATATCGTAACCTATTTTTACATGAAAAATCATATAGAATATAACACATACGTATATATATATATATATATATATATATATATATATATACACATTAATTATCGTTTAAAAATCAATATATATATTTAGTTTATTTTGTAATTATTTTACTTGATTAGCATAATTTATTTAATACGTTTTGTGTAAAATTATTTTGATTTCTCCCAGTTCTATATTATTACTCACTGCTACTTCGTTACCTATATTTAAATTTAAATAAAATTTATTATGTAAACTTGTTGAATATGAGTCATATTTATGTAATATAATATAAAGATTATAAAATTAAGTCTATTAGTTTTACGCATGGATGTTTAAAAAAAAAAATATATATATATATATATATCTTACCTTGTAATTAAAATAATTATATCATTTATGTTCATAAATTTCATACTAAATTTGTAATATATAGTTTTATAACTTAAAAAAAACAACAAATATTTGTAACAAATAGTATTTGATTGTCGAAATAAAGGCATAAGGAAAAACTATTTAAATGAATATTAAAATAAAATAGTTTCTTCGTATTAGTGTGAAGTTGAGTGTGAAGTTTTTGTGTTAAAACTTATATTTTATAATATCTTAAACTTCTTATTAAATTTTTTATAAATTTTTCATTCAACTGTCAATATACTTGATTACTATAAATTTCCATATCTTTTTAATAAGGATAAATATTATTATAGATACGATTTTATTATAATTAACAATATTGTAAACATAATATGTAATTATTAATTTGGAAAGGATTGTACAATATATATTTCAAATAAACAATTAAAATATTAAGAACTTAAATTAAACATATACTTAATTAGATACCATAAGTGATAATCATTATCGTACTTTGCAAGTTTAAAAATACCAATAAAGTAATAAATATAAAAGGGGATAGTATTTATTGATTTAATACTTAATTATTAAATTTTACAATATTTTAGTTTTTCAAAGTCATTTATTATTAAACTTATATATCAAATTACAAAATAAATTGTAGGTTAAAGAATGAAACAATATTGTAAGGATAATTAGATGTAACTTGAGTCACTTGGTCGGCTTTTATTTTTCTTATAGGAACTTTATCTCCTTTTCGTGTATACTAAATCTTTGAAAAAAAGTGTCGTTAATAGAATAAAATAGAATCACTCATCTTAATTTGTATATATATATATATATATATATATATATATATATATATAAAATAGTATAAAATGGATATAATTTCACAAATCTGTCATTGTAAATGCCAAGACAATGATTAGGATTGTCTTATAGTTTATTTATTTTATTAGGAGACTCAAGTTTAATAATGGCAACAGATTGTCACACATTTTTATTTGAAAACCTTTATGAATTAATCGCATTTCTTAATGATAATACAAACCCACGAGTTCGTAATATATAATTCGATATATTTTTTTAAAAGTTCCGTCGGTCATTTTAAAATATGTATGTGCGAATAATTGTGATACGATATGTAGAATTTCGTTTCCAGTAGATCATGCGAATGAACGAATATACACATTAACGATTCGATATCAATGGAAGGATTAGTTTTATTCATCTCCTTGTTCACATGTCCATTTCAAATTGCTCCGAGGCATCGTCAATCACATCTGTAATTATAAGCATACAAAAACACATGTACATATACATATGTATGATAACAAATTTTAATAATCATGATGGTAGCATGATGCGATAGTAAAATGTAATCATTTCATATTGTTTGTATACAAATATTAATATTATATTCTTTTCATTCTACGATGAATGAAAGAGTATAGATTATATGATACCGACACAACTAATATTTATTAATAAAATACCACAAGTTTTTCTAAACAATAGAATGCTTGCAAATGAAAGTATAATTATCTTTTAAATGATAAATAATTGTATTTCTTTACTTTCAAGTAAAATATTGTTTTCCTTCAGCGTACAATATATAAAGAATCCAATAATATTATTCTAAAATTTTAACTTCGTTTTAAGTTTCTTATGTAAACATTTGCTCTCGAGAGAATAGCATATTAAACAAAGTAATTTCATTAATGCACACACACAAACCTTTGATTAGCGGATTCGCTGTTTTAATTGACGATATGGAGACGGGCGCAGTGCTTTTTAGTAGATTCGTTGGTATAGAGGGTAAATTTTTTGGTGGTGTTTGCGAAATCGGTGAATTTCGCAAATTCATTAGGAAGGCTCGTTCATAAACAATGCGAGTACCTGTAAAAGACAAGTGTCTGATGTGAAAGTAATTAACGAAAATTTCCAAACAGAATTGCGTTTCAAATAGTCGAATGTGTAACGGCATGAAGAACATTCTTGAAAGTAATTATAGTTTCTATTCTTAAATATATAACTTTATAATATCTTTCAATGGCTATTGTATATCATTCCGATTATTATTCTATTTCGTAGGGACAAAAGCTTTTTCATCTTTTTATACTAGATGAATGAGCAATTGTTTGATGATAGTTATTATTATTTATATTCAATTTCTTCTTCTTTTTTTAATATCAATAAATTATCCATTTCACCTATCTCTTTATAATTGACATGAATTTTTAAATAAAATATATCATACGAGAGCGTATAATAAGGTCTAATATTTTATTTTAAATATAAAAACATGCCTTCCTGGAGTAAAACAAAAAAAAAACTAATTATTATTGATTATCACTTTAAAAATAGCATTCATTTATTCTATAAAATCATTATTCCGATTTCGTATACGTGAGCTATAGTTTTAATTTTTCCCCTTACACGGTTTCATACTAAATGCTATTAATCTATAAATTAAATATTTATATACGTTTTTTATTAGCACCCATCGACAATATTTGCGTATTCCCTTTTATTAAGTAAAATCATTACGAAATTATAAAAAAAAAAAAACTTTATTAGTCAATTCGACAAAATATAATATTTTAATTTTTATAAGAATACGTAAATGTATATAAAAATTAATTATTATCAAAATAATAATTAATTTCTTTGTACACATAAAATACTTTTCTAAACATTAATATTTGTCTCGAAATTGATTTCCTTTAAAGATATTTGTTCGCGCTCTAATTCATTAAGCGATAATAAAATAAATTATTAATTTTCAGATGTCTTTAAATTACAAATAACATTTTTCACAATTTCTTATAAATATTTCGACATAGCATCCAATACTTAGAAATATTATATTATACAAATATATATCTGGTAACACGTTTACATAATATTTACGTAATCAAAAATCGATTAATCTCACTTCCATCAAATATATTTCATAATATTATTAAACTAATTATCATTTTATAAATCATAAATTTCTAATTTATAAGGATTTAATCGTTATTATTAAGTCAGTTGTAATTTAATGGTTGGGACCGGATTATCGAATTAATAAAAAAAATTAATAATTTAAGTTTAAGTTCAATTTTAATTCTAATGAAATTGATATATCTGGTTTATTGATTTAATGATGATTCGATGATATACTTCCATTGTATGTAATACAAAATTGAATTGAACTGAAAATTTATAATATAAAAAATATTATGGAATTATTTATGGCCTTGAAATATAAAAAATAAGTAACTATTTTACTTAATAAAAATATTTATAAAATTGTTTTTTTTTTATTTTGAAATTATTAATGAAATTATTTAATAAGAAAAATGTTCATGCTTTAACTCTGCTTACAGTCAGTCACAAAGAAGAGTTGTGCTGAATAAATTAGAATTTATAAAACAATTGAAATTGAATACATCTTAGCTAATGACATTTATCAAGTTTGTCATATGTGCATATGTGCGTATAGAAGGAAGTTTGAGTAAATTAATTATGATATTTTAAAAATGTACTACTTATGAATTGTGTGTTATTATATATTTATATATATATATATATATATATATAACTATTCTTTAATATTTTAAGAATTTTTATAATAGATGCTTTACAATTCACAAGATTTACATTTTAAGTATTATGGAGTTTCGATTGCCAATAAATGTAATTTATGAATGAATAATTCTATTTAATTTCAATATGTTAAAATCAAAGTTTCAAATATTATATACTTATGTGATAGTATTACATAAAAAATGTTTATCATTCATCAATGTCTTTCTCGTCTTAAAATTTTTGTTTAACTACTTTATGAAAATTAAATTTTTCTGAAAAGTGAATTGATTATACATTATTATTCAACATCTCTAGTGGGTCAATTTGATGCAAATATTGTAAAGATATTGTAAGAAGACAATGTGGGAAAATTTAACTCAATATAATATTATATAAATTATATAAAATAGCGTTATTTTATGGATGAAAGATGTAATATTAGCTCTAAATAAACTATTCAAAATAATAGATTGAATATATAAATTAAATGCACTTTGTGTTTGTCTCAAAAAGACGTTGATGTTAATATTGACATTTTAGGTAGCATTTTCTTCTTCGTATTATAAAATTTAAAATATCTAGGAAATATTTATCTTTATTGCTTTAGTCATAGATCAGATCCGGGCTCGTTGGTATATAATAAAATTAAAGCGAATTTGTTGATAAAATATTTAACTATATTAAATTCATAATGGTTTATAAAATAATAAGTTGCGAGTGAACGGTATACATATCAAAAATAAAGATTGACAGTGCACATTATATAGCAAGTTTTTACGCAGAAACGAGTTTCTGATATTTTGTAAAATACATTTGCGATGGCTATATTCTATTGTAGAATTCTAGCCGACGGTGTGTTTAATAATATTAGCTATTTGCTGTATAAAATATTAAATAACATTGTCTATTTATGAACGAATGCTGGCGTTTGGTGTTAAAGCTAATTGGTCGAATGGGATTGTAAATAGTTTTCTCTTGCACAAGCGTCTTCCTGACGATTTATTACCTCCAATATTACAACGTCTTGGACAATTCTATGAAAACAAAAACGCCCATTAAAGTAGTTTGGAAAGCAAGACGCACTTATTTGTAGATTAACCGCCGCGATTGTACATGTCTTATTATCTTTTGGCGGCTGAGCGCGTTTTAAGAATTGAATGTAGCGAAAATAACAGGCAAATAGTACATTAAAAATGAAAGAAAAGAGTATGCTATTTATGGAAATAGAGAAAATAATAATATCACAGTATTTGGGAATCATAATACATACGTATTTTAATTTTCTATTCTTTATGTTTTAATAGTAAATTCCATGTCTCTTTGTATAATATAAAGCAAGGATATGCAATTGCAATACTGTAAGGTACTATATCGTTATAAGGGGCAGTTTGATCTAGTGAAATTGGAAAATCATTGTTAAAGTTAGATTGTAATTAATCTTTGGTGATTGGAGTGGCAAGAAAAGAACCTTTCTTTTCAATTTGTGTTCTAATGCGCCTGAAAATGATTATCAAAGAAACTGGCGTAATTTACATGGTTAAATAAAAGTTATATCCGACAAATATATCTTTCACGGTCTATGTGATAGTTCAGTCACACTGATAATTATATTCTGTCGGGATGATATTTCCCTTTTACACTATTTCTTTAAGATTAATTGATCGTGCCGAAATTACTCGTATCCTTCGCCTTTGCCTCCTCCTTTGCCTCCTCGAAAGAGAAACTCATTAAATGTTGAAGAGTCTAAAACTGGCGAATGTTTGCATGTACCGTAAAAAAAAAAAAAAAAAAAAAAAAAAAAAAAAAAAAAAAAAAAAAAAAAAGAGAGAGAGAAAAAAAATAGTGTATCGACGTAGAAGCAATGCCGTCGTTATGACTACTTGATTGAAAAGAATGTTATTTATTATGGCTGCCGTGTCGATTTCAATCTTTTTGTTCAGCGATTCTTGCTTCACAGATACTTGCAATACAATTGTTGGTTGTCATCAGTGTCGTTACGCTAGTGATGCTGTCGTAGGTTTTCTCACCCCTTCTGTCAGCGAATGGCATTCTTTTCAATTTCGTTGCCTTTTCTCTTTTCCTTTCAATTCTCGCCAAGTTGTGTCAACGAAGGATGAACGTCTTCATTGTGGTGAAATATTTTCGGATTTTCATAACCGTCGTTAACGATTAATATTTAGCCAACTATTTTTTATCCAATAGGTGCTTAGAACTTTATGGTATAAATGAATTGCGCCTATTATCGACGATCGAGCTGATCTGTCACGATAATTTCATTGTATTGTTTGCACTCTCAAAGAATATGTAAAAGTATAGGTTAATTGTTGAATCAAAAGCAATCAAAGGCATAATATCGATGGTTAATTAAATTCGGCCAATTTGATTTGAAAAGTTATCCCCGTGACGATTGATTATCGTACGAAAGACTGAAATTTAATAAACAATTACAAATTACCACCAGCGTAAGGCTATATTTCACCGTTATTTATCCACATGTTCATCCACATGATATTATAATACTAAAAATTCTACACTTGGTATCTGATTCGAGTAAAAAGTAAAGTAACGTTATATCGTTTATTGACATCGAGGACACAAATGTAAAGCATTTATTATTCTGTGCATACGATGCTCAGAATTATTATACAACAATAATATATTATTTTACTCCATGCCTCGAAATCGCTCTAATCCAAAGCTTAAGATTCTAACGTTGAATAAGGTCACCTTATCACGATGGTGTCTCTCTCACATTACATTTCGTCAAAACACGCGCAACATTATTTCAAAAAGCATCGGATCTTGGGGAATAGAATGAGTAATAAAATCTTTAACGATGGCATTCTTTATGTCAAGTCCGCTTGAGGAATGCACTGTAAAAAAAGTTCTTGGGCTCGCCAAAACGCGTTTCCACTAATTTTTTATGCGTATTTCAACAATTTCGATGCCCTCGCAATGAGGTCTGATCAACCGCCATTTTCCATCTCTTTCGGAGGTCTGTACGGTACAGCCGCATACTAATTATCTGTCGCTGTATGTGTATATTTAAAATTAAAGTTAAAAAAAAAAAAAAAAAAAAAAAAAAAAAAAAAAAACCAAAGAAAGGAGATGGCTTATAATTAATTTATATTAATCAATTAATTATGCTCATAATTATGGGTTTTAAGTCTAAAGCATAAAGCATGAGTAAAATTATACTTAAAAAAAAACGTATGGATTACAGGAAAAGCTTTTGTTAACAATGTGTAAAAATTGTTGTATTTACCATACGAATAAGGAATTTTCTAATTATCATAAGGAAAATGCAATGTTATTATATTCAA